GGCTTGAGCGCTGTCCCGCGGTGTCCCGTGGTGTCCCGTGGTGTCCGCCATTGCTAGGGCGAGGTCAAGACAAATCATTCTCCCCCTCCCGCCCGTCCGTCCGTCCGTCCGGCTGTGGCTCGCGGTGTTCCGCGGTGTCCCGTGGTGTCCCGCGGTGTCCCGTGTTGTCCCGTGGTGTCCCGTTGAGTGAGATCGATACTGAGATCGATACTGAGATCGATACTGAGATCGATGTGGTGCCCCGAGGTGTCCCGTGGAATCCCAAAAAGTGAGATCGATAGTGAGATCGACAGGTGTCCCGTTATGTACCGTGGTGTCCCGTTGAGTGATATCGATATTGAGATCGATACTGAGATCGATATTGAGATCGATGTGGTGCCCCGGGGTGTCCAGTGGTGTCCCGTTGAGTGAGATCGATAGTGAGATCGATACCGAGATCGATACTGAGATCGATGTGGTGCCCCGAGGTGTCCCGTGGTGTTCCAAAACGTGAGATCGATAGTGAGATCGACAGGTGTCCTGTGGTGTCCCGTGGTGTCCCGTTGAGTGAGATCGATAGTGAGATCGATAGTGAGTTTGATAGTGAGATCGATGTGGTGTCCCGAGGTGTCCCGTTTTGTCCTATGGTGTCCCGTTGAGTGAGATCGATGGTGAGACTGATAGTGAGACCGATAGTGAGATCGAGAGGTGTCCCGCGGCGTCCCGTGTTGGCCCGTGATGTCCCGTTGAGTGAGATCGATAGTGAGATCGATAGTGAGATCGACAAGTGTCCCGTGGTGTCCCGTGATGTCCCGTGTTGTGAGATCGATAGTGAGATCGATTGAGTCAGATGTTGGTTCCCCCCCTCTCCCCCCCACACTCCCCTTATCACCCGAAGGGTGGTCGTATAGGTATATATCTGTATTGCTGTCGGTGTCCCGATCGCTTTCCGTCAATCGATGTCGTTTATCCGATCACCATCGAGACAACATCGAGACACCATCGACACACCACCAGGACACCATCATGACACCAATCGTGACACCAATCGGGACACCGACGGTGCACCGACGGGGCACCGGCGGGACACCAATCGGGGCACCGACGAGGCACCGACGGGACTCCAACGGGACACCGACGGGACACCGACGGGACACCGACTGGGCACCGACGGGTTACCGACGGGACACCGACGGGACACCGATGGGACATCGACGGGACACCGACGGGACACCGACGCGACACCGACGGGTCAGCGACGGGGCAGCGACTGGACACCGATGGAAAACCGACAGGGCATTTGGCGTCTCATTATTGATCACATCAGCGATGCTGGAAACCACATTCGTACGATCGGGACGCCACCGGGGCGCTATCGGCACACCACGAGGGCACCATGCACAAACCACAGGGACACCATCAGGACACCATCGGAACGCCACCCAGGGCACCTGTCGGGACAACACCAGGACATCATCGAGACCATCGAAACACCACTAGAACACCAATCAGGACACCCATCGGGACACCAATCGGGACACCAATCGTGACACCAATCGGGGCACCAATCGGGGCACCAATCAGAACACCGATCGGGACACCAATCGGGACACCGATGAGACATCGACGGGACACCGACGGGACACCAACGGGATTCCAACGGGACACCAACGGGACACCAATCGGGACACCAATCGGGACACCAATCGGGACACCGACGGGACACCGACGGGACACCGACGGGACACAGACGGGACACCGACGGGACACCGACGGGACACCAGTGAGACACCGACGGAACACCGACGGGGCATTGGTGGGGCACCGCCGGGACACCGACGGGACACCAATGAGATACCGACGGGACACCGTCGGGACACCGACGGGACAGCGACGGGACACCAACGGGATACCGCCGGGACACCGACGGGGCACCGACGGGGCACAGACGAGGCACCGACGGGGCACCGACGGGACACCGACGGGGCACCGACGGGACACCGACGGGACACCGACAGGGCATTTGGCGTCTCATTATCGATCTCATCAGCGATTTTGGAAACCACCTTCGTACGATCGGGACACCACTGGGGCGCTATCGGTACAACACAAGGGCACCATGCACAAATCACAGGGACACCATCAGGACACCATCGGAACACCACCACGGGCACCTATCGGGACCCCATCAGGACACCATCGAGACACCATCGAAACACCACTAGAACACCATCAGGACACCATTCGGGACACCAATCGGGACACCAATCGGGACACCAATCGGGACACCAATCCAGACACCAATCGGGACATCAATCGGGACACCAATCGGAACACCGACGAGACACCGACGGGACACCGACGGGACACCGATGGGGCACCGATGGGGCACCGAACGGACACCGACGGGACACCGACGGGACACCGACGGGACACCAACGGGACACCGACGGGACACCGACAGGACACCATCGGGACATCAATGAGACACCGACAGGACACCGACGAGATTTCGTCGAGACACCGACGGGACACCGACGGGACACCAAGGCGGGACAATTCGGCCACCGCCCGGCCACCGGGGGAGGTTCAGACAATTGTCTTGCCCCGCCCTTGCAACAGTTGAGTCTCTTTTTTGGCCCGCCAATGCAGCTTCGCCTCACCCGCACGCGCGACACGAACCCAAAACCGATACCGATTTCTTTGTGTGGTCTCTCTGTTCCACTTCAATCTCACCCTGTACCGCCATGCATGCCCCAAGATGGTGCAAACATGGCTTTATGGAGGGAATTGTGTGGTTTGGTCGTGTTTCGGATTTCTGCATGTTTGATGATTATGTGTTTGCCCTATGCTTGTTTGTACAGTGCAATTTCTTGTTCCCCACCTAGGCGTTGCCTTAGGGGTTCTCACTTGCTTGTGAAGGCACCGGTGGGTGATGGACGCGCTCGCGCTGGGATGTCCGAGTTTTTTTCGGTTTTGTTCCCCTACACGGGGGTGCCCCGGGAGTTCCGGGTTTTGTTCATTTACAAGGCGTTGCCCAGGCTCTCTTGGTTCATTGGTCTCGGTTCTTTGGTTATCTGGTCTTGATTCCTTATTTTTTGTTGGACTTGGTTCCTTGGTTTCTGTTTCTTGGTTTCTTTGTTTTGATTCCTTGGTTCCTTGGTCAAGGTTCCTTGGTCCTGGTTCCTGGGCTCCTTGTTCTTGGTTCCTGGGTTCCTTGTTCCTAGGTTTCTTAGTCTCGTTTCTGGGCTGCCTGGCCACGCAAGGCCAAGCGATGCCACGAACTGCCATGCAATGCCAAGCAATCCACTCAATGCCACGCAATTCCGAGCAACTCCAAGAAATGCCAAGCAATGCCACGCAAGGCCAGACACTGCTAAGCAATATGCCGAGCAATATGCCAAGCAATATGTCAAGCAATATGCCAAGCAATGTGCTCATGCAATAGGAAGCGTTCCCCCTTTGGGCGTCGCGCTGGGTTCTCACTCTAGTTTGGTCGCAGTTGCCCACGAGTCGCCTGCAATCCGCCTCGAGCCCCGCCCCTCGACCCGCCTGCGACCAGCCGACGGTGGTCTGCCCGCCAGCCGCGCCCGCCGCGACCCGCCCCTCGACCCGCCCCGCCTCCCGCCAGCGCCTCGCGTGGCGCCCGTCTTTGACCCGCCTCGCGATCTGCGCGCTCCGTGGCCCGCAGCCGCCGGATCCGCGCCCGCCGCAGCACACGCCCGCCACGACCGGCGACCGCCGCGACACGCCCCGCGACCCGCTTGCGACCGTCGCCCTCTGCGACCCCTGCCCCCTCACCCTCGTCTGCAACGTGGACCCGTGTATGTCCCTTTGCTCCTGACCACTCTTCACGCGTCGCACATACCCGCCAGCCCGGGGGCCCCGACAGCCCAGAGAGCTGGTGGGAGTTCAATATCTGCTCTTCCCGTGATGCCCACTAGGAAACAATGCCGTGTTCTGTAGGGTGCAGGGGCCAGGCGAGGGTACGGCACGGTGAGATCATTTGCGACGTCTTCGCGCGCTGCTCTGACCCCTTGCCCCGACTCGCGAAAGCAGTGACAAGCACATTCTGCGCCGATTGGGAAGTTCATCGCATGGAGGCAGCCGTGCGCCCCACGAGAAACATGGTGGCAGCAGGTATCCTGTGGGATTGGACTGGCCCACCCTCATGGGAGCCTTAGGAGGGATATCCCCCAGGGCAGCATGGGAGAGGAGAATCTGACTCCTCGCTTAATCAATACACTCCCAGATCTTGTCTCGTTCCCCTCAATTACGCGGGCTATTTGATCCAGGATCGTCAGTGAGCCAACGCGCCGGCTACCCTTCCCCCTCATGTTTTTCTCAATGCTCTTGGGCCTGGGTGATCGGGAGTGTCCTTCGTGCCTGGTCAAGCGGCGCCTGGAGGCTTGGCAGGCAGTGCGCAGTCGAGGCATTTAGTAAGGACCTGCCGCCGTCGCGTGGTACCCTCGGTTATTGGATTTGCCCTGACTTCCACATTAACGCTTGCCCCACTCAGGAATATCTTTTTTAGAGACCACTTTGTTGATGGGGACAACGTTCTGGGGTGTCAAGACGCATGCGTTTACCGTCTGCCGGGTTTCATCTCTCGGCGCTTATGTTGTTCGATTGTGTCTTCTGTCCGTCTCCATTCTGCTTTAGGCCGATGGCTTTACATGGGCTTGGCGTCTGAATCGCCCATCAATGTCATTGACTTCTTTTTCGTGGAGCGCGGGGTCCTGGTCTGTAACTCTCCGAGCGGCGTATTAGATGATCGGTGGGAGGTCTCCCGGGGGACGTTCTTTCCTTCAACGTTCCGTCTGGTTCTGCCGGCTTGCATGAGCATCTGTTTTTGCAAACGTCGCAGCAGTATGTGTGTGATTGATCGAGCGTTTTGATCGAGTGATGTTGTTTTTGGAATATCTCGGGAAGCCGTTTTCGTAGCGTTTTTGAACCACCCTCTTGGATGATCGTTTGTTGTCTTCTCAGTTTGTTTCCTGCATCGTTTATCGCATCCAAAGGAAGACCATCGACGCCGATGGCAGACGAATCTCGCTGGAGTTCTCTGCCCAGAAGGTGCCGCGGTAGCTGGGAGGGATTCAAAGATTGAGCATGCGCTCATTTGTGGTAGCATTCATTCTGTTGCATGTACTTTGCGAATGCCACGTAGCTGCCACGGCATGCGTGCACGCATGTGCGAGCGCGCGCGTGTGTGCGTGCATGCCCGCGTGCTTCTCTTTTTTGTGTGTCTTTGTGTGTAGGCATGGTCGCCGTGGGGTCAGGCGTGCACGGTGCGATGGCTAGATGACTACGTGTGTGCGCGTGTGCGTGCGTGTGTGTGTGTGTGTGTGTGTGTGTGTGTGTGTGTGTGTGCGTGTGTGTGTGTGTGTGTGTGTGTGTGTGTGTGTGTGTGAGGTCCCTCTCTGTCAATTAAAGATGTGCGCGTCCCGCGGAGCTTTCAGCGGAAGAGGCTCGCTCTCGCCTCGCATATCAAAACAGTGTGTGTGTGTGTGAGGGAGAGAGAGAGAGAGAGAAAACATAAAAGTAGAGTGGCGTGCTTGCTTTGGCATTGAAAATCCGCCCAAAGGAGTCTAGATCCAGAACTGCGGTACAGACAATGCTTTCTCAGATGAACATCAGCAGCGTCGGAGATAACGAGGCCAGCATATGTCTCTCGTGTGTCCTCGCTTGATCTTGTGGTAGTGCAATGCAATGTGATAGGATAAGCAGTGACAGGGCATACCAAACAAAAGAGACAAGGCAGTGAACGCAGGCGAGGGGCCCAACTTGCATTAATCACTGGAAGGATGATTTGGGACCCGCAAGAGTTGGTGAGCGGAGCCAATGTCCTCAAGGTGTCTTTCGAGCTTAGGAGAATGTGTCGTCTGAGTTCGAATCTACGGTGCTCGAGAGTGGACAGATACTTGCACGGATGTAGACAAAGTGAGCGTGTTTGCTTGAACAGTGTCAGCCAGCCATGCCCTGAGGCCGTTGCGCTGGAGAATAACTACAAGCAGGTCACCGGTATCAATTCCTGCCTCGCATGTTTTGTATTCGCCATGCTGTTTTGTTGCGGGTTCCTTGCGATTTTATCCTTCCCTGCTTGCCTCGCTTTCTCTACATGTCTCTATGTCTCCCTCCTTATCAGTCTCCGTGTCTCTCCCTGCCCTGTCCCTATAATGCCTCTCCCTATCCCTATCCCTCCTTATCAGTCTCCTTGTCTTTGCCTCTCCCTGCATCACTGTCTCTCTCTTTCTCTCTATCTCTTCCACCCATCATAATCACCGCCTTCTCCTCAAACCTGTTCTCCATCTCGCTGTAGATGGCATTATTAGGTGTTTTTTGCATGCTTTTGCCGTTGGCTCCACTGGAGGCGCTGGAGCAACTGCACGAGCAGGAGAAGAAGGCTGTGGAGGCCCAGGAGCAGTGGTTTAAGATGCGTCCCAACCTGCGCGGCCCTCGGCAGCCAGACTGCAGCAGACGCCTGGAATCAGCAGGTTCGTGAGGATCGAAAAAGCCTTGCTGCATGACGACGCCCACTTCGTACTGGCCCGTTGTGTGGAGGACGCGACGAGCAAAAGCCTGAGTGCGAGCGTCGAGGCACCCGATAATGTCGCGATATGAATGAGGACGATGATTTTGATTTGGACTCAGGTTAGCCACTCGTTCACAATGAATCGTGTCTGCTCCGTGGCTATTGAAGACGCCTGCGAATGAGGATTGTGGAGCCTCATTCCCATCAGCTGCGGAATTGTGAATTCTGAGGCACGTTTGATGCACGTCGGCAGTCATGACAGAACATGGTGCTTGCTCAAGAGGCTCAAAGAGAAACCCCGGAGAGCCGAGACAATTTCGGCATGCCCCAGGTTTCCCATGCTTTTTTTGTTTCCCATGGTTTCTGCCCAATCCGGTTTCAGTTTCCGAGGTGCATCGGGTGGCCCAAGGCGGCCCACGAGTGGCATTGGCTTCCCACGACAGTAGCCAATATTGTCCAAGCGGCCCACATCGACACCAGGAGGGGTCCATGACTTCATGACGACTCAAGGTAGTCCCTGGCCACTCCAAGACAGCCCGCAGAGGGCGCCTAGACGGCCCAGCAGGGCGTACCCCATGACCCCCCAGGCTTTTCCGAAACGCCGAACACCACCCACGAGGGCTCCAGGAGAGCCCCCAAACACACCGAGGGCTTCCCATGCCCTTCATATACCGCATAGTCGCTCTGTTGTTCCCCTTGTGTATATTATGCTGCCTTCCTATGCCTGGACTAGCGTTGTAAGTGGCAGAGGGGACGCGAACGGGCCTTTGATACACGTGTCAAAGGTTGGGCACAGTTCGAGGCCAATGGTTTTACAAAGTTCACTTTCCACGTTGCTATTAGCTTGAAGGTCGAAAGAAGTTAGGGGAACGTTTGGCTGCAAAGAAGTCTGAATATCTGGAGCGCATTTGAATGTATCTTGAACTCCAGACTTGGTTTTGAACTGTAGTTCTCTTTCTCGGACTTCTCCAACCTTTGAATATGGTTCACACCATGCTTCAAACTTTCCTCCAAGCTCTATAGTTGCTATTGAACTGGTTTCGAGCTCTCCCGTTTTTATATGTTGTTTGAACTTCCGCTTTCCTTGGTTCCCGAACTCGAACTCCTAATTTTCCCTCCGCCAGTCCCCAAGCATTTACTGTGTTCATTTTCTGGGAACGGCCGCCTGTGCCCTCCTCAGCCAATTACAGGCCGCGGAACCCACCCCTGGCCTTCTGGCGGCACCCACTTGGGTAGCGGAACCATGTTTTCTCGTCGTGGTCTTGGCCTCGCCCCCTGGGCCGCGGAACATATTTGTTTCGTTGCCGTTGTGGTTCATCCCGCGTTGGCCTCCTTGGCTTACCCTCCCTGGGTGGCGGGACCTTTTTGTTTCGGTGTAGTCGTGGTTCGTCCCCCCTTGGCCTCGCTGGCCTCCCCGCCCTGGGCCGCGGCATCCGCTCTTGGGTCTTGGGCTTCCTGGCCTGGGCCCCCCCCCGTGGACCGCGGACTTGCTTGCTTTCGTCACGATCGTGGTTCGTCCCCCCCTGGCCTCTTCCTCCCTTCCAGGCCGCGGAACCAACCCCTGGCCTTCCTGGCCTCGCCCCCTTGGGTCGCAAAACCTTTCAGAATCACGTGGTCTAGGTTCGTCCTCCCCTCCTCCCCATGGCCTCCCTGGCAGCTCCTCTCTGGGCCGCGGAACCCGCCAATGGAATTCTTGACCTTGCCCCTCGGGGCCGCGAAACCTCGCACTTTCGTGGTGATCTTGGTTCGTCCTCCTTGTCTTGCAGCGGCCCCCTGGTTCGCCCCCCGCCGTGGCGTCCCTGGCCTCCCCCTTGCAGGGCCCCGGAACCCATCCCCAGCCTTGGGTTCCCCCTCCTCGGGCAGCGGAAGGCACTGTTTTCGTCGTGGTCGCGGTTCGTCCTCCCTTTCTGGGCCCCTTGGCTTCCCCTCTCTGGGCCCGCGGTGCCCGCCCTTCTCCTCCCTGCCCCCAGAGCCCGCTGTGGTCTTGCACATCTGTGTTTGGAGCTCGGACATCTTTCTTCTCGTCGTGGTCGTAGTTCGTCCTCCCCTGGCCTCGGGGGCCGCGGGCCCCCCGCTTTCCTCCCTGCCCCCTCCACCCTCGTTCTTGGCGCGTACTCGTTTTTGACGGAACCCCCGCTCGGGTTTCGGGGGGGCGCGGGTCCGTCTTGGTCCTTCCCCTCTCCGCTGTTCCTCTTCCCCTCCTGCTGCTGCTGCTGCTTCTGCTTCACGCTCGGGCGCATCTGTAACGTTTTTGCAGCTCTTCTCGAAAAGTGGGGTGAGGATCCCAGCGTCGTCGTCGTAGTCGTCACCGTCGCTGTCTCGCCGCCGTGAGGCACGATCGCAAACGCTTTAAATTATCCTTTCTTCCCCGTTTTGGGGCGTCCTCGTGAGTCGGGGCCTCGGCGCAGGTTCAGAACAGTTTGGGAACCTGGCCGCCTTGAAAGGCGAGCCAAGGCCCCCGTAAACCAGAGGGTGTGGGGCCACAAGGTCAACATACCCCATTGCATAGGTCATGCCCGCGTTGGCCCAGCCCCCCCTCCCCCTCCGCCTTTCCAACAGGGGTCCCCGCAACGCCCGAGCTGTTGTATTTAATAACCCACGGGCCTGGATGAAGCACAGCATGTAGTGTCGACAAATGTACGTGCCGCCGTGTCTAGAACCTCTGAGTAGCGCTCGCCCATTTTTGAAGCTCGGGGTCTGGGTGAAGATGAGGTGTGGATGGAGGTTGACAACCGAAGATTCAAATCTACCGTATTGTCCGTCGGTAGAAGACGATTTAGAAGAGAGGAGAACCCTTTCCCATGCGCCGCGGGATGAGAGGCGCGAGTCCTGTCCAATAGGACTGTCCAGTACCTGGGCCGAGACAGCAGCAGGATAGATGAATAGAAAAGGTGATATGAGCGGACTTCACACATACACGCACACCCCGTCCCGAATCCCGCCCGCTCCACGTGGGCCTCGGGCTCGCGGGAGACAGAGGTGGGACTCGGGAACAGGTGTGAGGTCCACTCGACTCACCCTTCCATCCCCTGCAGCCTCCGAACGAGGCAGTCTCGGCTAGGAGAGAAAGAAAAGGACCAACCACGTCGCGCGCGCTACTTTGGGGAGTCTACCCGCCTTTAGCGTCCCAGGGTGCGCCCCCCAAAACGCTCTGGCACTCCTAGACGACTCCCCGTCACCACAGGCGACAGGGCTGGGAGAGCAAGGGACAGAAGAAGGAGAAAACAGTTCCGCGTCAAGACTAATGACTTGGGTGCTTCCACTGGCACACATTGTATTGTGTGCAGAAATGCTATCACAATACGTGGGTGCATTGCAACCCAAACCTGAATTCAGAAGTGTCGTGATCGAAGTTGTGACGACAATTGATCAACGCAATGGTAAGAGAACAAGCATTAGTTGGGCAGTCCGGGCCTTCAATTATCTCAATCAAGTTTGCATGTGTGATCAAAGCGGTTACGAGAACTGGTCTAAGTAATGACAGTACGCGCGTCTTTTGTGAGGTATATCCAAGATAGGCTGAAGGATAACGTCACTGAAATGAATCACGGGAATCATGCTTTGCATATATCGTACCTGGTGTTTCCGATACCCCATAATGCAATGATGTTCCCACTTTGATACTATTTGCGACGGGCGACTTGCCTGGGCGCGTTCGTGCATGATGTCGGCGAGAATGTCACGTATTGGTGGCGAGCGACCTGCCGGGTTTTTTTATGCCAATAGTGCCGAACAGTATGTGATTATTTTCTATCATATGAACGTCGGTACAACTGTTACATAAATGCCAAATATATGTGACGACATCATGTCATCGGAAAGTCAATCAACGAAACCTGTTGGGGTCGTAGTATGGAGCATACCAAGCTTGAGTGCCACTGTTATCGAATTGCCCAAGTGTGCGTGTTGTGATACGATCAACCCACATGTGTTCGCAGTCATTCCCGTCGATGTAGATCCAGTTTTTCAAATATGACTAGTCGCGGTATGTGTTGTCGCGGTCGTGCTCCAGGGAATCACGCCACCATGATTCTGGGCGATGCCTGCGAGTGCCGCTTCGGCTGCGCTCGGTGCGGTTCGGCGCGGCCTTGTTGATCGTGTGGTGCGGATCTTGCGGCCGACGCGGTGGCGTCCTCGGGTTCTGCGCGTCGCCGCAATTGGCGTGGCAGCTGCAACGGCGCCGCCAGTCCAGCCAACGTCGCCAGGAGCAGGGCCGCCGGATGACGCTGCGCCCGAGGATGAAGCAGCGCCCATTGCCAGCCCATCGCGGCGCGGTGGTGGAGGTGCGGGAGGTGGGGCAGAACGGTGGTCGGTGACAGGGCCGCTCCCCTTGCCGAAATTAACGTACCCCCCTTACTGTTGTGATGATCCGCTCTGAGCTGCGCCAGGGTCACACGGTTCTGACCCGTCCCTTGCCCAGAGGGAATGGAGAAGGTCACGCACTTTCTTCCAAACATAACCTTTCGCAACGATTTGGTTATGCAGGTGCGTGGCCATTCTCATGTCCTCCAAAGTCAAAGGATGCTTGTTCTTCATTTCGCGGTCACGTATCATATGTTGCCAGCAGACAGGGCGCTCCTGGAAACGGAGGGGAACGTTCGGGTATGGATGGTATAAAAGACCCTCGACGTCGTCAGGATCAACCTCGGCACCAGCCAATCAGAATTGTTGAACCGTCGGTGATCCCGCGGCAAACCACTTGTGATACCTGCTCTTTGTCTTCGAGGCAGCTTCCTGAGATAGTCTCTATCTTTTGAGGTCGGACCTCTGGCCTGTGAATATGATGTTGACGCTTGCGCGCGCTATTCGTTGCGCAACGTCCCTATTCAGATTATCCCAGATCCAACAGTTGACGCCCGCAATGAGTGCGACCTCATCCTCCCCTGCCTCGCCAAAGGCAAGAGATTTCGAAAGCGTCTTGCAGGTGTGTTCGCTCTTCCGTCTGAATGTCGCTTGCGCCAGTTTGGACGAGTGGCTCAATCCGCGCGCGTCCCACTTGCTCCTCCTGCTCCCGCCCTGTGCAACTCTTGCCCTGTCTCCTTCCCCCTCTTCCGCACCCCCACCTCCTTCGCTTCCCCCTCCTGCCCCTCGTTTTCTTCTTGGACCCCGGTCGACCTCGCGTCGACCGCCCGCCCTGCCGGCGCCGCTCTGGCACTCGCGGGGCGCAGCCGAGCATCAGCGCTTTTCTGTCCCAGAGGGCTGGGGGAATGGCCCCGGAGGGGCCCCGGAGTCGCCCTCGGTCCTCCGAGAAAGCTCTGGCAGAACTCGGAGTTCGGGCGCCTGCCTGGCGGCGCCGCGAGGCGGCGAGCCGCGGCGGCGCGCAGGGGCGCAGGGTCGGGCCGGGCGAAAGGGGGGGATTGGGAAAGGGGGGGGTACGAAATTTGCTGCATGCAGCTGGTTTCGGCCTCACCGAGGGGCCCATTCCTCGATACATAGCCGCCTCCGGCGCCGGGGGGCGCCGGGAAAATCAGCTACGTGAGCTGATTCTCAAACCCCCCCTTTGCTATCCCCCCCTTTCGCCCGACCCGACAGGGGCACAGGAGGTCGGGCCCGCGCGGACCGCGAGGACATGATGGCCGCCGTTGCCGTCGCTGGTTCGCTGCCGCCGTCGTCGTCGTCGCTGCCGACGCCGACGCGCTCCCCCGTCTTCTCCTCCGCCCTTCCTTCCATGGGGCGCCGGCGAGCGTCGAGAGGTTTTTGGTCCCTTTGGCCATCGAGCGAGCGAGCCCGAAGGAGGCGGCCCTGGTGGGGAGACGTTTGGCAAGCTCCCGAGAGCGCGCGCGCCCTCGTCGGATCATCGCCACCCTGTAGTCGCCCGTTGCCCCAGATTGCGTCTCGGAAAGGGGGTCCCCGCCCAGAGATGTTCCCGATGAGTGCTCCCTGCGGGGCGGGCCCCGTGCTTGGGGCGTGGGGGACACGTCACGTTGGACACCTGTCAGCCCCCCCTTCTCTCCCTGCCCCCCTCTGTCCTTTTCCTTCTCCCTGTCGATCGCCTTCCATATGTTGAATATCCCTCATACGTAAAGCATGTATCACTGTTGTTTTCCCCTCTCTTTCTCTCTTTTTTCTCCTTCTCATTCTCTCTCTCTCTCTCTCCCTCTCTCTCTCTCTTTTTCTATATGTATATATCTATATATTTGTCCCTCCCGTTTTTTCCCTCCCTCTCTCCCTCCGTTTCTCCGTCTCTCTCTCTCTCTGTCGCTATCTCTCTCTCTCTCGCACTATATCATTATCTCGGTTTCGCTCTCGCTCTCTCTCTCTCTCGTTTTGTGTGTGTGTTTTTGTATGTTTGTTGTTCCTCTTTCTCTCTCTCTCTTTCTCTTTCTCTCTCTCTCCCTCCCTCATTCCATTTATTTATTTCCTTCCCTCTCTCTCTTGCTCTCTCTCTCTCTCATTTTCTCTCCCTCTCTCTCTCTGTATGTCTATATGTATGGGTATGCGCTCTCTGCCATCTCTCTCGCCCTCTTCTCATGTTTGTAGTATGTATGTACACACATATATATATATATATGTGCGTATATGGTACTAGTGGTATCACTCCCTTCGACTAGTTGGATGGGAGGGGGGCTGAGGAAAGAGGACGACGAAGAGGGAGGAGACACGTCGAGGATGAGTTTGATCACCGCCAAGACGAGGCTGCGTCGAGAGATCGAACTGGCCGGCAATGCTCTCAGACACCATTCCGCCGATGTCCATTCTGCGTCTCGGGTGCACCGTTCTGCGCCCACCCTTTCCCGGGGGAGCATTCTTCCCGCCTGAGTCGAGACAGTAGCAGGATGGATGGGTAGAAAGGTGACATGAGCGGACTTCGCACACAGGACGTGAAATGAATACGTCAATCGCCCAGCGTATCCTCCCGACATTCACAGGCGCCCCAACTGGAGCTCCCCCTCGTCAGATAACGTCGATTATTTCGTGAATTTCCCACGGATTTCCCAACGGCATCGGGCCCGAGCTGGTCCCCAGCCGCATGCGGATTGCGCCGTTGGAACCTTCGGTGGGGCTCCCCACGGGGCCGCGAAACGATGTGCTGGGTGGAAGAACGGAATGCGGACTGCGCCATTGCAACCTTCGGTGGAGCTCCCTCTGGGGCCACGAAGCGATGTGCTGGGTGGGGGAACCGCATGCGGATTGCGCAACTGGGACCTTCGGTGGTTTTCCCTATGACGCCACGAAACGTTGCATTGGGCGGGGGAACCGCGTGCGGACTGCGCCATTGGGACCTTCGGTGGAGTTCCCTCTGGGGCCACGAAGCGCTGTGTTGGGTGGGGAAGCCGCATGTGGACTGCGGCACTGGGACCTTCGGTGGAGCCCCCTATGGGGCCAGGACGCGCTGTGCTGGGCGGGGGAACCGCGTGCGCACTGCGCCAGTGGGACCTTCGGTGGAGCTCCCTATGGGGCCACGAAACGCTGTATTGGGTGGGGGAAGAGCATGCGAACTGCGCCACCTGGGACTTCCAGTGA